GGTACCTTGCCAGAACCAGACTTTCACTTTCCGCGGTGCATCTACTCATATACGCGTGCAGTATAATTTTTTTTTTTTATTTAGCTCATAAAATTCATACAAATTACCCGGCCAGAATATAATTTACATTGCTGGAATTCTTACAATTTGATGATCATTTTGAATATAAACATCATAGATTTTGCATTAGACATACAAATTTTAGATCTACTCTAAGTATTTTGTTTACTCTGAGTAAATATGTTATCTTTTGTGCAAAATATATGACGTTTACATTCAAAATATTCCCTGACCTGCAAGGAATCCAGAAATGTCAATTATATTATCCTAACTTTAGTCTGAGGTATTATCTATTACTAAAAGTTAAAATCTAGTTTTTTGCCCAACATTTCTCTGGTAGGGAGGGAAGGTGAGGGGTGGGGGGGGAGGGTTGGGACCCACCGACCCAGCTGGCGTGAGTGTGAGGAGGGGGGGAAGCAAGTTGGGGTACTTTGATTGACAGATAGTGTCGTGAAGGATATTTTTTTTTTTATTAACTGAAGATATTTGTTTTAGCTCATAAAATTCATACAAATTACTGGACCAGAATATAATTTACATTGCTGGAATTCTTACAATATAATGATCATTTTGAATATAAACATCATGGATTTTGCATTAGACATACAAATTTTAGATCTAATGTAATACAGTGACCCCTCGTTTAACGAACACCTCGGTTAACGTAATTTCGATTAACGAACTGCCTTCCATAAGGATCTTCAATTCGGTTACAACGAAAAAATATTCGGTTAACGAAGTTCTTACGAACCGACCTCAACATGTTTTCGCTTGCACTGACCGGGCAACCAGCTTTAGTATCAGTCCGCCAATACATTAACCGGTTCTAGGGCTTAAATTCCTTACTATTTTAGTAAATATCAAGAAGTTTATACTATTCAATAATTTTAAAAGTTTAATATTCAATTTTTTAGTCATTTTAACAATTATTGAACATAATTGAAGGTAAAGTGACTAGTTTAATGCACGGCATCCAGCCTCTTAACACAGCAAACAGGCGTTAGTCTCTCTCTGTTTTCACTGGAGGTAACATCTTGCTTGAGACTCTTCAACTAAACGCTTTTTTTCTGTGTTTCCAAGCAAATTATTGGTCATTTTGAAATATATTTTACATATTGACAATATATAATGCAGTGCAGTGTTGATTTAAAGAAAATAATCTTGAATTACACCAAGAGAACTAAAATTTTATGGGTGAAATGGCGCCATGGGGTGACTTCTCTTCCACCCCAATGCCTTCTCTTCTTCCTTCTCCTTCACCCCCATTCTAAATCCCATCATCATCATCATCATCCAGGAGCCTTCTACATACACACCTCAAAGTAAGTGAACTTTTCTACCATTTTTGTTGAATTTAGGAAATTTTCGGTGAGCTGGAACCAATTACCCAAAAACCCATTGAAACAATGGTTTCGGTTAACGAATTTTTCGGTTAACGAACGACCTTCTGGAACGGATTGAGTTCGTTAACGGAGGGGTCACTGTAATTTGGTTTACACAAAGCAAGTATTTTATCTTTTGTGCAAAATATATCAAGTTTACATTCAAAATATTCCCTGACCTGCAAGGAATCCAGAAATGTCAATTATATTATCCTAACTTTAGTCTGAGGTATTATTTATTACTAAACGTTAAAATCTAGTGTTTCACCCAATCATTTCTCAGAGAGGTAGGAGCTAGTGAGCTGGGAAGAGGGGGGGGGGGATTTGAGTCTATTATTTGAATGGACATTAACCTGGCGACTGTATTTCTCTTAAATATCAATTGTGTGAGCATACCATCATAAAATTTAGATGTTATTTTTACTACAACATATGTATTGTGTCGGAAAAAGTGGAGTTTGGGGGTCAGGCCAGTCTCTATTGGAATTAATCCCATATGTTCTGTTGTTCACTTTACGCGGTTTTCACTTTCCGCGGTACCCTGTGGGTTCAATTGACCGCGTAAATCGGGGTAACTTAGAAGGCATGAACAGAAATGGCATAAGCTATGAACGGTTGGAAGTGACTGGAGGCATTAAAGAATACAAAGATGGAATAAAAGTAGAGGAAATGAGACAAAGAGAGAGAAGGAAAGGTAGACCTACGTTGTTTGTATCAGGGGAGATGAATGTAAATTGGTTGTATATTTCGTGTCACGTTTGCTGTAGATATCATCAGATACAACTATATTATATATGTATGACAAAATTAACTGATATTTGGACTGAAGAAATCTTGTCCTCAATTCGGGAACAAGAGGAAGAGAAAATTGTCTTGCGAACAACTTCATATTTCCCGCCTCTGCTGACGGCCGTGTAATATTTCAATGTGATTCTGATCTTTTAAAATGTTAGTTTTTGCATAATGTAATATTACTGATAAGTAATTAGTCTTAATATGTCTTATTATGGGTAAAAATAAGCATATATTAAATGCGTCCTCCAAAAGCGTCAATTTGCTACCAGAGTTTAACAGTTAATTCTTGTATAATATTTCTGATAAACTTCTTATGTGCTTATGCTTGATATAATGAACATACAGGTATGTATCATTTTTCTCGTCAGAAACGGTCATCCCAACGATTATGAATAAACTCATTTAAATATACATCATTACTTCAAGACAAAATCGGACGGGTTTGCAACGGCCAATCGGCTGTAACTCTTAAGGAGGGGGCGGGGCATCTTTTCTCGCTCTATAATACAGTAATTAAGGAATATATACAAGACCTCTTCATTGTCAAGGACCAGCTTATACAGGATCCCTCATTAATTACAAAATAACTGAGCGGTTCCGAAAAGTTGCGGGACGACGGGATTGAAACTTCAGTCTCGTCGATTCGACCGGGGTCTGGCGGACCACCGAGCAGGCTTGGGTCGGGCATTATCCCACTTCAACAATTATTATGGGACTATATTATGAAACAGGTTATGATGGTTGAATTATAGGAATCAAATATGAATTATATAAAGACGTTTGGATGAGTAACAGGAGAAAGGAGGGATGGGACTATATTATGAAACAGGTTATGATGGTTGAATTATAGGAATCAAATATGAATTATATAAAGACGTTTGGATGAGTAACAGGAGAAAGGAGGGACCCGCCATGTATGAGTAACAGGAGAAAGGAGGGACCCGCCATGTATGAGTAACAGGAGAAAGGAGGGACCCGCCATGTATGAGTAACAGGAGAAAGGAGGGAGTAACAGGAGAAAGGAGGACCTGCCATGTATGAGTAACAGGAGAAAGGAGGGACCCGCCATGTATGAGTAACAGGAGAAAGGAGGGACCACCATGTATGAATAACAGGAGAAAGGAGGGGACCGCCATGTATGAGTAACAGGAGAAAGGAGGGACCGCCATGTATAGTAACAGGAGAAAGGAGGGACCGCCATGTATGAGTAACAGGAGAAAGGAGGACCATATGTATAGTAATAACAGGAGAAAGGAGGGACCCGCCATGTATGAGTAACAGGAGAAAGGAGGGACCCGCCATGTATGAGTAACAGGAGAAAGGAGGGACCCGCCATGTATGAGTAACAGGAGAAAGGAGGGACCCGCCATATAATGAACCACAATATTAAGGTTCATTTGCTTAATAAAACATTATCAAAAATTAATTAATTTACCCCCAAAAAATAAACAATCAATCCCAAAAACTTTAATAAACTTAGAAACTTTTAATAAACTTAAAGACTTTAAATAAACTTAAAGACTTTTAATAAACTTTAGAAACTTTAATAAACTTAGAAACTTTTAATAAACTTAAAGACTTTTAATAAACTTAGAAACTTTTAATAAACTTTAGAGACTTAATAAACTTAGAAACTTTTAATAAACTTTAGAAACTTTTAAGAAACTTAGAGACTTTTAATAAACTTAGAAACTTTTAATAAACTTTAGAAACTATTAATAAACTTTAGAGACTTTTAATAAACTTTAGAAACTTTTAATAAACTTAGAAACTTTTAATAAACTTAGAAACTATTAATAAACTTAGAAACTATTAATAAACTTAGAAACTTTTAATAAACTTTAGAAATTTTTAATAAACTTAGAAACTATTAATAAACTTAGAAACTATTAATAAACTTAGAAACTTTTAATAAACTTTAGAAACTTTTAATAAACTTTAGAAACTTTTAATAAACTTAGAAAATAAACTTAGAGCTATTAATAAACTTAGAAACTATTAATAAACTTAAAACTTTAATAAACTGAGAATTTTAATAAACTTAAAACTATTAATAGAAACTATAAACTTAAAACTTTTAATAAACTTTAGAAACTTTTAATAAACTTTAAAACTTTTAATAAACTTAGGAGCTTTTATAAACTTAGGAACTATTAATACTAGGAGCTATTAATACTTAGAAGCTTATAAAGCTTTGAACTTAATAAACAGGAACTATTAATAAACAGGGCTATTATTAAACTTAGAACTTAATACACAGAAACTTTTATAAACTTAGAAACTATTAATAAACTTGAAACTATTAATAAACTTTGGGACTTTAATAAACTTAGAATATTAATAAGCAGGAACTATTAATAAACTTAGAAACTATTAATAAACTTAGAACTTTTAATAAACTTTGAAACTTTTAATAAACTTTAGAAACTTTTAAGCAACACTAATAAACTTTAGAAACTTTTAATAAACTTAGAAACTATTAATAAACTTAGAAACTATTAATAAACTTTAGAGACTTTTAATAAACTTAGAAACTTTTAATAAACTTAGAAACTATTAATAAACATAGAAACTATTAATAAACTTAGAAACTTTTAATAAACTTTAGAAACTTTTAATAAACTTAGAAACTATTAATCAACTTTAGAGACTTTTAATAAACTTTAGAAACTATTAATAAACTTTAGAGACTTTTAATAAACTTTAGAAACTATTAATAAACTTTAGAGACTTTTAAAATAAGTTAATAAAGACTCAACACACAGTCGGGCTTCTTCTTAAAGTCTTCCTCTCTGGGATGGTCCAGAATATTCTGGTGCTGGAAAGGACAGTGAGGCTTCCTGCAGCCTCCTGGCTGACTCTCGAACCAGCAAGCAATTCTGTCCCGTTGTTTCTGAAACAATAAAACAACTAAGTAACACTGTGTTAAGCTTTCCTCTAACAATATGTTAAGCTTCCCTCTAACAATATGTTAAGCTTTCCTCTAACAATATGTTAAGCTTCCCTCTAACAATATGTTAAGCTTTCCTCTAACAATATGTTAAGCTTCCCTCTAACAATATGTTAAGCTCTCCTCTAACAATATGTTAAGCTTCCCTCTAACAATATGTTAAGCTTCCCTCTAACAATATGTTAAGCTTCCCTCTAACAATATGTTAAGCCCTCTAACAATATGTTAAGCTTCCCTCTAACAATATGTTAAGCTTCCCTCTAACAATATGTTGAGCTTTCCTAACAATATGTTAAGCTTTCCTCTAACAATATGTTAAGCTTCCCTCTAACAATATGTTAAGCTTCCGTCTAACACCATGACAATATTAATGCAAGACTCATTCATGGCTGTAATCTCCTTAACTAAAGACTCACTGTAATCTCCATAACTAAAGACTCACTGTAATCTCCATAACTAAAGACTCACTGTAATCTCCTTAACTAAAGACTCACTGTAATCTCCATAACTAAAGACTCACTGTACTCTCCATAACTAAAGACTCACTGTAATCTCCATAACTAAAGACTCACTGTAATCTCCATAACTAAAGACTCACTGTAATCTCCATAACTAAAGACTCACTGTAATCTCCATAACTAAAGACTCACTGTAATCTCCATGACTAAAGACTCACTGTAATCTCCATGACTAAAGACTCACTGTAATCTCCATGACTAAAGACTCACTGTAATCTCCATAACTAAAGACTCACTGTAATCTCCTTAACTAAAGACTCACTGTAATCTCCATAACTAAAGACTCACTGTAATCTCCATAACTAAAGACTCACTGTAATCTCCATAACTAAAGACTCACTGTAATCTCCATAACTAAAGACTCACTGCAATCTCCATGACTAAAGACTCACTGTAATCTCCATAACTAAAGACTCACTGTAATCCTTAACTAAAGACTCATGTAATCTCCATAACTAAAGACTCACTGTAATCTCCTTAACTAAGACTCACTGTAATCTCCATAACTAAGACTCCTGTAATCTCATAACTAAAGACTCACTGTAATCTCTTAACTAAAGACTCACTGTAATCTCCATAACTAAAGACTCACTGTAATCTCCATAACTAAAGACTCACTGTAATCTCCATAACTAAAGACTCACTGTAATCTCCATAACTAAAGACTCACTGTAATCTCCATAACTAAAGACTCACTGTAATCTCCATAACTAAAGACTCACTGTAATCTCCATAACTAAGACTCCTGTAATCTCCATGACTAAAGACTCACTGTAATCTCCATGACTAAAGACTCACTGTAATCTCCATGACTAAAGACTCACTGTAATCTCCATGACTAAAGACTCACTGTAATCCTCATAACTAAAGACTCACTGTAATCTCCATAACTAAAGACTCACTGTAATCTCCATAACTAAAGACTCACTGTAATCTCCATAACTAAGACTCACTGTAATCTCCATAACTAAAGACTCACTGTAATCTCCATAACTAGACTCCTGTAATCTCCATGACTAAAGACTCACTGTAATCTCCCATAACAAGACTCACTGTAATCTCCATGACTAAAGACTCACTGTAATCTCCATGACTAAAGACTCACTGTAATCTCCATGACTAAAGACTTACTGTAATCTCCATGACTAAAGACTCACTGTAATCTCCATAACTAAAGAGTCACTGCAATCTCCTTAACTAAAGACTCACTGTAATCTCCATAACTAAAGACTCACTGTAATCTCCATAACTAAAGACTCACTGTAATCTCCATAACTAAAGACTCACTGTAATCTCCATAACTAAAGACTCACTGTAATCTCCATAACTAAAGACTCACTGTAATCTCCATGACTAAAGACTCACTGTAATCTCCATGACTAAAGACTCACTGTAATTCCATGACTAAAGACTCACTGTAATCTCCATGACTAAAGACTCACTGTAATCTCCATAACTAAAGACTCACTGTAATCTCCTTAACTAAAGACTCACTGTAATCTCCATAACTAAAGACTCACTGTAATTCCATAACCAAAGACTCACTGTATCTCCATAACTAAAGACTCACTGTAATCTCCATAACTAAAGACTCACTGTAATCTCCATAACTAAAGACTCACTGTAATTCCATGACTAAAGACTCACTGTAATTCCATGACTAAAGACTCACTGTAATCTCCATGACTAAAGACTCACTGTAATTCCATGACTAAAGACTCACTGTATAAAGACTCACTGTAATTCCATAACTAAAGACTCACTGTAATCTCCTTAACTAAAGACTCACTGTAATCTCCTTAACTAAAGACTCACTGTAATCTCCTTAACTAAAGACTCACTGTAATCTCCTTAACTAAAGACTCACTGTAATCTCCTTAACTAAAGACTCACTGTAATCTCCATAACTAAAGACTCACTGTAATCATGACTAAAGACTCACTGTAACTCCATGACTAAAGACTCACTGTAATCTCCATAACTAAAGACTCACTGTAACTCCTTAACTAAAGACTCACTGTAATCTCCCTTAACTAAAGACTCACTGTAATCTCCTTAACTAAAGACTCACTGTAATCTCCTTAACTAAAGACTCACTGTAATCTCCTTAACTAAAGACTCACTGTAATTCCATAACTAAAGACTCACTGTAATCTCCATGACTAAAGACTCACTGTAATCTCCATGACTAAAGACTCACTGTAATCTCCATGACTAAAGACTCACTGTAATCTCCTTAACTAAAGACTCACTGTAATCTCCTTAACTAAAGACTCACTGTAATCTCTTAACTAAAGACTCACTGTAATCTCTTAACTAAAGGCTCACTGTAATTCCATAACTAAAGACTACTGAATCTCCTTAACTAAAGACTCACTGTAATCTCCATAACTAAAGACTCACTGTAATCTCCATGACTAAAGACTCACTGTAATCTCCTTAACTAAAGACTCACTGTAATCTCCTTAACTAAAGACCACTGTAATCTCCATAACTAAAGACTCACTGTAATCTCCATGACTAAAGACTCACTGTAATCTCCTTAACTAAAGACTCACTGTAACTTCCTTAACTAAAGACTCACTGTAATCTCCATAACTAAAGACTCACTGTAATCTCCATGACTAAAGACTCACTGTAATCTCCCTAACTAAAGACTCACTGTAATCTCCTTAACTAAAGACTCACTGTAATCTCCATAACTAAAGACTCACTGTAATCTCCATAACTAAAGACTCACTGTAATCTCCTTAACTAAAGACTCACTGTAATCTCCTTAACTAAAGACTCACTGTAATCTCCATAACTAAAGACTCACTGTAATCTCCATGACTAAAGACTCACTGTAATCTCCTTAACTAAAGACTCACTGTAATCTCCTTAACTAAAGACTCACTGTAATCTCCATGTGTCTAAAAATACAGTTGGTCTTGTTACAGTTCCCTTGCAGCCAATATATACACATGGTTGTTCAAGGCTGCTGGCTCATGGCGAAACGGACATGACGCACCCTGTAAGATTGAACCATAATTAGTGGTAGGGTAGTGGTAGGCCGTTTGTCACCAGAACCAGTCTCGATGCTGCGCATAGGGAGAACGAGAACGACAAGAGAAGGGCATATGGGGAGAGAATTCAAAATGTTGATCAAGGCAGCTTCACTCCTCTAGTGTTCACAACCCTGTGGATGGGCCCAAGTGCAAGAGGTTTCACGCCAGACTTCAAGGAGCTGATCTCCGAACAGAAGCAGCAGCCAGAAGTTATGTCACAGCCTGGATGAGATGTCGATCTCCCTCTCCTTCTGGTCGGCTTTGCTCTGCCTCAGGGGAACGAGAGCTTGCCCCTACTCACAACTGCTGCAGACATCACTATGAGTCGACAGTCACCGAATGCCGATGGATCTGCGTGCTCAACTAATTTAACACAGATAGGATAGTTGCTATGTATGATATTTAATATTAAGGGTAAATAAATGGTGGCGAAGGTGTGGCTATTGGGGAGGCTGAGGCCACGTAAAGGTAGTAGTAGGGTAGGTGGGTAGGGGTAGTGGGGGCAGTGGTAGGGTGGGGTAGTGGTAGTGGTAGGGTAGTGGTAGGGTAGTGGTAGGCAGTGGTAGTGGTAGGGTAGGGGTGGTAGGTAGGGGAGTGGTAGGGGTGGGTAGGGAGAGGGGTAGTGGCAGGGGTGTGGTAGGGTGAAAGGTGGGGGTGTGGTGGGTGCAGGGGTAGGGAGGGGTAGGGTAGTGGTAGGCAGTGGTAGGGCAGTGGTAGAGGGTAGAAAGTAGGGCAGGTAGGGCAGTGGTAGGGGTAGTGGTAGTGGTAGGGGTAGCAGTAGGGGTAAAGTGATAGGTGGCAGGGTAGCAGTAGGAGGTGGTAGGGGCAGTGGTAGTGGTAGGGTAGGGGTAGGGTGAGTGGTGGTAGGGTAGTGAGGGGTAGTGGTGGGGCAGTGGTAGTGGCAGGGTGTGGTAGGGCAGTGGTAGGCAGTGGTAGCAGTAGGGCAGTGCAGAAGGCAGGGGTGGTGGCAGTGGTAGGGCAGTAGTAGGCAGTGGCAGGGTAGGGGCAGTGGTAGTGGTGCATAGGGGCAAGGGCAGGGCAGTGGCAGGGGCAGGGTAGTGGGCAGGGTAGCAGAGGATAGTGGGGCAGGGGAAAGGAGGGTGGCAGGGCAGTAGGGTAGGGGTGGTAGGGCAGTGGTAGGGGCAGGGGGCAGAAAGAGTGGTAGGGTAGTGGTAGTGGTAGGGAGTAGGGGTAGGGTAGTGGTAGGCAGGTGGGTAGGGTAGGGGTAGTGGTAGGAGGTAGTGGTAGGGAGGTAGGGCAGTGGTAGGGGTAGTGGTAGGGTAGTGGTAGTGTAGTGTGGTAGTGGAGGCAGTAGGGTAGTGGTAGTGTGGTAGGGTAGTGGGTAGTGGTAGGGTAGGGTAGTGGGTAGGGTAGTGGTAGTGGTAGGTAGTGGTAGGTAGTGGTAGGGTAGTGGTAGTGGTAGGGTATAGTGGTAGGGTATAGGTAGGGCAGTGGTAGGGTATAGGGGTGCAGTGGTAGGCATAGTGGGTAGCACTCAGCGTGTAGCTAGGGCCTGGCGGCACTTTTGGGTCTGCTCATCACCCATATCTGCAGCTATTGGAGACGTTAATCCATCCCTTTGTATCGGCAGCAAGTTAATCTTTGTCGTGTCTGACCTAACACCTGACCTACATCATCACGGCCACGTCATAAGCTACACCCTTGCTAGGCCCCCCGCCACACACACAACCTGTAACCTGTTGAGGATTAAGGAAACAACTTCAAACAAGTACGCCAGTGAGCTCATGTGGTGTGGGTAAGGTGTTAGGTCAGACACGACGAGGATTAACTTGCCGCCGATACAAAGGGAAGGATTAACGTCTCCAGTAGCTGCAAAACCATGCAGTCTCGGGTCATATCAGTTCATGTACAGCCGACCAATCCACCAGTTACAAGCAATTGACTTCAGTTCTGCACAAGTCTCCATCGTGACAAGACGAGGGGAGGCTAGACGACTTTTAAGTTTTCTTGTGTTTTCGATCCAGTTATTTACTTCGTTGGAAGACGTAATACTATAAGGTAAGAAATATTAAAGTATTGGTTAAAAAATATTGATGTGACTTTTGCTGCGGTACTGAAATTAAATATTAAGATTTTGTTTCACAGCATTGCGATTTTATACTAAGACACTATCCTCACTGGGGTACAGACAAAAGCCACCCAGACAAAAGCCCCCCAGACGAAAGCCACCCAGACAAAAGCCCCCTACTTTGATCGGGGTGGCTTTTGTCTGACAACAGTAAGGGCTTTCAAAAGTTACGGACATAATTAAATAGTTTGGTGAAGGATCACGAGATGCTGAATTGCCATACGACATTGAATTGAGGAGAGAAATGTTTTCTTCTCTGGACAGAGTGATCCAAGAAATAACTTTGAGATTTCAACAGCTTCATGAACTTGCTGAGAAATATGCCTTCCTTACCCCATTGAATCTTTTGGATGATAAATATGAGTGTCAAATAGATCACGATCACGACGACATTGATAAAGAGGAGTTCCTCGTTGAGAGAAAAAGACTTCAGCATTTTGTTGCTGTTGCTGTTGCTGCTATAACTATTACAGACAGAATACAGACGTGGAAAGAAGGCCCCCTTGAACTTTTGCAGTTTATTCAAAAGTATAACCTTGGGAACTCGGTTCCAAATATAGTAATAATGCTGAGGATTTTCCTCACAATTGCTGTTAGTGTTGCAACCTGTGAGAGGAGTTTTTCGAAACTAAAACTGATCAAGAATGACTTAAGATCTACTATGAGCACCTTGCGGTTGAGAAATCTTGCCATACTGTCTATAGAGCGACAATTGACAGATGAAATAGTTTTTGACAATGTCATTGAAGAATTTGCCAACAAAAAAACAAGAAAAGTTACTTTGTAGAAAGTTGTAGTTTTCATTTCAGAAATAAAGATGGTCCTAATTTTTTACACTTTTTTTACTTTTTTCCCTATCCTATATGTCGTTTTTGCTTTTGTTTAAATGTTACTTATAAAGTTTAAGTATGTTTGGTGTGTATTTAAAGCATACTATATTTGAGTATGTGAAAGTATAGTAATATTATAATGGTACACAAACTATTTAATAAATAAATATATATATATATATATATATATATATATATATATATATATATATATATATATATATATATATATATATATATATATATATATATATATATATATATATATATATATATATATATATATATATATATATATATAACTTGATAAAATCACACGGGAAAAGGGAAACAACGGAGTACCTTAGCTTTCGTCTTTATTCAAGACATCTTCAGAGGCAACTGATATATATATATAAGAGTGAGTCACTGTGCAATATGTAATTTTTGTGGGGCCACGGGAGGGGGGGGGGCAAACTCAAGGGCCGCCCCGGGCGGCACACACTCTAGCTACGCCACTGAGTGGTAGGGTAGTGGTGGTGGGCCAGCGCGGCGTGGGTGTGGTGGAGCATCCTCCCTGATCTGAAGTGTTATTGGTGGGGACATACTTGAAGTGTGGGAGCGAGTATTTAACAATGAGTCGGTGATTATCGGATGTCACCCTAAGCATTGTCACCCAAGGTTCTTCTCATCCCTTACGGCATTAATTGCAAATATTCAGTGTGTTGACCGGCGATCACCAAGCGAGTTTGTGAGTATTTAGTTGGACGGCTACTGCAGGTGTGCCAGGTGCCATTGTCGATAGGCTTACTTTGCCAGGGGTGGTATCGAGACTCTCGCCCCTATGGAGCCAAGTGCTCTACGCTTGCGGATGCCCCCCCCCAAGTAACGGCCATTTCATGTAGTGTCGGCCGACCAAGTGAGTATATATAACTAATATTACATCAGTGCGACCATAGAAATAGTGGTTATGTCTGCCAAGGTTTATAAACAAGTGTTAGGTGTGACAATTCTTGCTCCCAGTGTATCATTCTGATGTGTGGATTGTCACCCACAGGGGGGCAGCCTACACACCCACGCACACACGTATGCCCCTACTACTCGTACATAGCAGTCACTCATAAGAACTAGTGTATTCTTCTGTATGGGACCAAAGCAGAAGTCGGAGGCGGACGTAACTGTCGCCCAAGGAGCTGAACACTATGCCGGGTAACGGACATTGTTCTGTCTGTGCTAGCCAGAACCAAAATTGCACTAGCTGTGATTGTGAGAGAAACAACCGACCGTGTGTGGTTTGCAGAAAGGGAAACAACTGTCAAAATCCACAAGGCAGGGAGCCGACACAGGAGGCCACAGTGGATATTGCCGGGACCCAACCGCCCGATGATATCCTAAATGATAGCAGTGAGTCTACTCAACCTGAAAATGTAGTACAGGTTGTACCTCTCTAGTCCGGCAACCTCGGGACCTGACCGGTGCCGGACCATGGAAATTCACCCTTTTCCTGGATAGATAGTGACTTGTGCTTACACTTGGAAGCACTAGCACCACTTTCTCTGCTTCATGGTCTCTTTGAAGACATATTGAAGGGTTAAATGTCGTACAGTAGGTTCTCAAATTTCGCGAGTTTTTAACTCGACGTTTTTTATTGGAACACACAAAAAACCAAAACAATTTTAAATTTTGACGGCGGAAACTCGAATTTCGACGGGTTTGAAAGGGTTAAATGTTATACTCTGAGAGAGAGAGAGAGAGAGAGAGAGAGAGAGAGAGAGAGAGAGAGAGAGAGAGAGAGAGAGAGAGAGAGAGAGAGAGAGAGAGAGAGAGAGAGAGAGAGAGAGAGAGAGAGAGAGAGAGAGAGAGAGAGAGAGAGAGAGAGAGAGAGAGAGAGAGAGAGAGAGAGAGAGAGAGAGAGAGAGAGAGAGAGAGAGAGAGAGAGAGAGAGAGAGAGAGAGAGAGAGAGAGAGAGAGAGAGAGAGAGAGAGAGAGAGAGAGAGAGAGAGAGAGAGAGAGAGAGAGAGAGAGAGAGAGAGAGAGAGAGAGAGAGAGAGAGAGAGAGAGAGAGAGAGAGAGAGAGAGAGAGAGAGAGAGAGAGAGAGAGAGAGAGAGAGAGAGAGAGAGAGAGAGAGAGAGAGAGAGAGAGAGAGAGAGAGAGAGAGAGAGAGAGAGAGAGAGAGAGAGAGAGAGAGAGAGAGAGAGAGAGAGAGAGAGAGAGAGAGAGAGAGAGAGAGAGAGAGAGAGAGAGAGAGAGAGAGAGAGAGAGAGAGAGAGAGAGAGAGAGAGAGAGAGAGAGAGAGAGAGAGAGAGAGAGAGAGAGAGAGAGAGAGAGAGAGAGAGAGAGAGAGAGAGAGAGAGAGAGAGAGAGAGAGAGAGAGAGAGAGAGAGAGAGAGAGAGAGAGAGAGAGAGAGAGAGAGAGAGAGAGAGAGAGAGAGAGAGAGAGAGAGAGAGAGAGAGAGAGAGAGAGAGAGAGAGAGAGAGAGAGAGAGAGAGAGAGAGAGAGAGAGAGAGAGAGAGAGAGAGAGAGAGAGAGAGAGAGAGAGAGAGAGAGAGAGAGAGAGAGAGAGAGAGAGAGAGAGAGAGAGAGAGAGAGAGAGAGAGAGAGAGAGAGAGAGAGAGAGAGAGAGAGAGAGAGAGAGAGAGAGAGAGAGAGAGAGAGAGAGAGAGAGAGAGAGAGAGAGAGAGAGAGAGAGAGAGAGAGAGAGAGAGAGAGAGAGAGAGAGAGAGAGAGAGAGAGAGAGAGAGAGAGAGAGAGAGAGAGAGAGAGAGAGAGAGAGAGAGAGAGAGAGAGAGAGAGAGAGAGAGAGAGAGAGAGAGAGAGAGAGAGAGAGAGAGAGAGAGAGAGAGAGAGAGAGAGAGAGAGAGAGAGTGAAAATTTAATACTCCTGTAATAATAATAATAATACTTCAGATAAAAAAAAAATAAAAGAGCTGCCTATCTACCTATTGGACAAACTAATATCGTTCCGAACCACGGGAGTTTCCGGACCACAGAATGCCGGACTAGGGAGGTACAACCTGTACTAATAAACGCTGCTCCAATAGTAGCTGATGTCCACGAGGTGAATGACAGACAGCCACCACAGTGGAATGGCATGTCGATGGAAAATGCAGACATATGGGTTAAAGAAACTTACTCAGAAATTGTCAGGTGGTCGCCAGAAAACCTGTTTGAACCACCCAAGTGTGAGGCCACCAAAGAAATGATTCGGGAGATGATTCGCTTCATAACTGATTACACCCACGACTGCTTCCTCGCCCCTTTAGCTCTTCACATACTGGCAATAACACCTCATCTATTCTGTCAGAGGACACACACAAAGACTAAGCACAAACATAATGTGGCAGCAATGAAGAGAATATTGACAATGTGGCAGACTGGGGCCCTTGATGATCTCCTATGTGAAGCAAGAACACTGCAGGAGAGACTAAAATTTATAGGAGACAGAAAGCAAAACGCCGATGACGTTGCAAGAAAGTCTGGAAACAAAATGCGTGTGGAAAAAGTGTCTCTTGCGGTAAGATCTCTCACAGAGGAATCCACCGGTGGGGTGATGCCAATAAACGGAGAGACATTAAAACTACTGAAAGAGAAACATCCCCCTGCAAGTGAAGACGAAGGCATCAGGTTCCACGGTGACTATATCCCACCAAATGCTGTCCTGTTCGAGAAAATAACAAGAGGGATGGTGTGGAAAAAGGCACTGAAGACTCGAGGGGGTGCCGGCTCTTCAGGTCTGGATGCAAACGGTTGGAGAGTCATCCTCAGCACTAACAAGTTTGGCCCTGTAGCAAGTGATCTCTGCACTGCCATTGCCACCCTTGCAAGAAAGCTTGCATCCTCTTGCTGCCATCACCTCCATATTCTGACGGCCTGCCACCTTATTCCCCTGGATAAGAAACCAGGATGTAGACCTATAGGGGTGGGGGTTAGTGCTGAGGCGGATCATCGGAAAATGCATAATAGAGGTGGTAAAGGATGATGTCAGGGCAGCAGCAGGGAACTTGCAAGTTGGTGCTGGCCACCAGGCTGGAGGGGAAGCTGCCATTCATGCCATGAGAACGATATTTGAGTAGCGTGATTGTGAGGCCATTCTCCTGGTTGACGCTTCCAACGCATTCAACATACTTAACCGCAAGGCCGCACGGCACAACATCAAGATCAAGTGTCCAAGCTTTGCAATGTATGTTGAAAACTCCTATAGGAATTCATCAGACATTTATATAGTAAACAACAAGGCTCTAAGAGGGGATACCATCATACAGTCAATAGAGGGAACAACGCAGGGGGACCCCGTTGCAATGGCAATGTATGCAATATGCTTATCCGTGCTCCAATACACAATAAAATATGAAACAACTGAGGTCAAGCAAGTGTCTTATGCTGACGACCTAACAGGAGCAGGAAAAGTGGAGGACATCAAAAAGTGGTGGGACCTGGTAACATGCCGAGGCCCACAAATAGGGTACCACCCAAACGCCAGCAAGTCAGAACATTATGAACGGGCAATGGAGGTGTTCGGTGGAAGTGAGGTCAAAATAACAAAGGACGGCCAAAGACATCTAGGTGCAGTAATTGGCACGAAGGACTTCAAGACCGAGTACGTAACAGTAAAGGTGAATGAGTGGGTTAGGGAAATCCAAACTCTGTGTGAGATTGCTAACACAGAGCCACATGCGGCTTTTGCTGCATTCACCCATGGAGTCAAGCATCGTTGGAAATACCTGATGCGCACTATCCCTGATATCGGACCCCTCCTCCGGCCTCTGAAAGAAGCTATCAGCGTCAATTTTATTCCCAAATTAGTGAAACACCTTCACTTAGGGTAACCCCAGCAGAAAGATCACTCCTTGTATTACCACTGAGACTGGGCGGAATGGGATTGACCAATCCAAAGGAGATTGCTGCCACCGAACATCAAAACTCTGTTAAGCTCACGGCAGCCCTCACTGACCACATAATAGCTCAGAACGCAACAGGTGAGGTGGATACCAGTGAAGTAAACAAGATTTGACGGTCCATTATGACATATCGACAGCACGGCCAGAGTGATAAACTGATGCTGCAAGTGACAGAAAACTTGAAAAAAGTAGCTATAGCACAGGAGGTGGGTGCCTCGAACTGGCTAACTACATTACTGAAAAGGGCAAAAGGTTTCAGTATTAATAAACAAGAATTTACAGATGCCATTGCTCTAAGGTACAGTAGGCCAGTAGAAGGTTTGCCCTCCCAATGTGTGTGTGGCTCATCTTATGACATAGACCACGCCATGGTGTGCAAGAAAGGGGGCTTCATATGCATGAGGCATGACGAGGTAAGGGACCTCACAGCAAATGTGATGAAGGAAATCTGGACAGTGAAAATTTCCATCACAGGACTTCCAACACATCCAATGAAGCCCGTGTTGATGTCAGTGCTCGAGGATTCTGGAGGCGGGGACAGCGAGCCTTCTTTGACATAAGGATTTTCAAACCCGTAGCCGCATGTCACCGCAACCTAGCTCTCGATGCTGCACACAGGAGGAACAGGAACAACAAGATTAGGGCATATGGGGAAAGAATTCAGAACGTTGATCAAGGCAGCTTCACTCCTCTAGTGATGTCCGAACAGAAGCAGCAGCCCAGAAGTTATGTTACAGCCTGGTTGAGATGTCGACTGTCCTTCTCTCTCCATAGGTCCCAAAGCCGACAACAGTCGCAGATATTGACTATGAGGCAGTAGTAGTAACCTACCTTAGAACAGGTGGAGTAGTAGTAGAAGTAACAGTCATTATTCTTAGATACGGCTGTTTTCTCGCCCATTCTAATCTGCCAAGACAAAAAATATGTTAAGTCAGTAATTTTTTTATTTTTTCGTTGAGACCAATAACCAAATTGGCCACCAGCCATTCCTGCAACAACAGCATAAAAATAACACAAAGTAACCTAATAAATTTACTCAAGCAACATTTTTGGGGTGTCTACTTGTTAAAAAGTAATAAAACTTTGTATTACTTTTACTTAAATATGGTTTTCTAATACTTTTACTCCAATACAATTAAAAAACCAAACAATAATTGTTACTCATTACATGACACAAACAAAGAATTTTAATGTTTGTGACAAACTACAGTAATAATATATTTTAATTAATTATTAACCATAGTAAAAGAGTGGTGTGGGTGGAGGGTATGGTGTGGGTGGAGGGTATGGTGTGGGTGGAGGGTATGGTGTGGGTGGAGGGTATGGTGTGGGTGGAGGGTATGGTGTGGGTGGAGGGTATGGTGTGGGTGGAGCGTATGGTGTTGGTGGAGCGTATGGTGTGGGTGGAGGGTATGGAGGGGGTGGAGGGTATGGTGTGGGGCGACACCAGACGGTCACTTTTTTTTTTACGGGGATTAGCCCACCCGGATACAGGTCACTGACCCACATAGGGGCCTGGGGGGCAAAAATGTAATACAGTGGGGTATGCTATAACGAACGGATCCTACTACGAATATTCCTATAACGAACGGTTTTACCTATAAAATTGAGAATGCTGTAACGAACGCAACTCCTACAACGAACGTGGATGAATACGGGACTATTTCGCCTGGCGCATGAATATTGTTGTAACGCGACCCACAACAAGAGCGTCAGGCGCCATCTTTGTCTCATTGTGTAGCCAGTGCACCACTGTTATTGTTGAAATTTCGTCTTTTGATGTGGAAATAGAGTTATTTGTGTAAATATTTTGTTATACAAGTGTACAATTGTAACAATGAATCGTCCAAAGCGAGTGAGAAAGTTCATAACTCTTGAAACTAAGAAAGAAATCATAAAAAAACGTGAGGATGGAACAAGCATTGCGAAACTTAGTGATGAGTATGGGATGGCTAAATCGACTATATGTACGATTTTGAAGAATAAAGAGGAGTCGAAAACTGTGCACGTGGCTAAGGGAATCTCTAGACTTAGCAAAGCAAGGTGTAATGTGATTGAAGAGATGGAAAATTTACTCTTAGTGAGGATAAAGGAGAATGAAATGGCAGGTGATAGCATTAGTGAAGCTATAATTTGTGAGAAGGCCAAACAATTGTTTGAGGACCTTAAAGCCAAGACTCCCAGTGCAAGTGATAGTGATGTGCCAGTGTTTAGGGGTGCCAAGGGGTGGTTTACTGGTTTCAGAAGGAGAAATAAATTACATAGTGTTGTGAGACATGGTGATGCTGCTAGTGCAGATAAGGAAGCAGCTAAGGAACACCATGACATTTTTTTTAATGTTATTAAAGAGGGAGGCTTTGTTTCTCAGCAGGTATTCAACTGTGATGAAACTGGACTTTTTGGAAAAAATGCCTCGCCGTACATACATTACCAAAGAGGAAACTTCTGTCCCTGGCCATAAGCCAATGAATGACAGGCTTATCCTCCTTCTTTGTGCTAATGCTTCTGGTGACTGCAAAATAAAGCCACTCCTTGTGTACCATGCAGAAAACCCCAGAGCTTTCAAAAACATTAGGGAGACCCGCCTTGGTGTTATGTGGCGGTCAAACCCAAAGGCTTGGGTGACCAGGAGTCTTTTCTCTGAGTGGGTTATTGAGGTGTTTGGACCCAGTGTTCGGGAATACCTCGGGGAGAATAATCTTCAACTGAAAGCTTTGTTGGTGATGGACAATACACCAGCCCACCCTCCTAATTTGATGGTTGAATTGCCAGAGGAGTTCAACTTCATCACTGTGCACTTCTTGCCACCCAACACAACACCTCTCATCCAGCCCATGGATCAACAGGTAATTTCTAACTTTAAGAAGCTGTACACAAAGGCACTGTTTAGAAAATGTTTTGCGTCCACTTCTTCCAGTGATGTTAGCTTAAAGGAATTTTGGAAGTCACTTCAATATAGCAGATGCTGTGTTTTTAATTACCTCAGCCTGGAAAGAGGTTACTGTGAGGTGTCTTTGTGCTGCTTGGAGGCCATTGTGGCCTGAATGTGTGCTTCAAAGAGACTTTGAAGGCTTCGAAGAGTTAGAAGAAGAGGCTGTTGTTCATGAAATTGTGTCTCTGGGCAATTCCATGGGCCTGGAAGTGGATGATGATGATGTTGAGGAGTTGGTGGAAGAGAACAGTAAGGAATTGTCCACTGAGGAGCTGCTTGAGCTTCACAAAGAACAAAACGAGACACTGAAGCGGAGCTTAACTTCTGAGGAGTCAGGGGAGGAGGAGGACAAGGAGGAAAGCCGCATCATTCCAGACAAAGATCTCAAGGATGCGTTCTTTTGCTGGAGCAAACTGTCCAAGCTTGCTGAGGATTATCATCCTGATGTTGGTTCTGTGCAAATGGCCATCAGTGTGTTTAATGACAATGTGATGAACTACTTTTGGAAGGTCAAGAAATCAAGGTTGAAGCAGCCAACCCTGGATTCCTTCTTTACAAAGGTAACAAAAGAACCTACAGACAAAGTGCCTGTGAGACAGTCACCAAAGAGGGCTAGGAAGGATGACTCCTCTCCTTCCACCTCTTCTCCATAATTCTCTCCTCCCCCCTCCCCCTCTGCCTCCTGTCCTGCATGCTGAACAACACTAAGGTAAGATAAAGTACCGTATTTTTTACATTTTCCACAGAAAATTTTCAGTGTTAAGTGGTTGTATTTGGGGGCCTGGAACGGATTAATCCTATAACGAACGAATGCTATAACGAACGAGGTTCTAGAACCAATTAGATTCGTTTTAGCATACCCCACTGTAATAATAATAATAATAATAATAATAATAATAATAATAATAATAATAATAATAATAATAATAATAATAATAAATAAGTCATAATAATTCATAATAAATAAAATTTATGATAAAACAAACAAAAATAAAATAATAAAATAATGATGATAATAATACAGTAACTGTAATAATAATAATAATAATATTAATAATAAAGAACTATAAATACAAAAATGAAAAAAAAGATCAAAAGTGAGAAACGATATACTGTATGTATGTTGTGTTGTCAATGGTAAGAGAAACAGTTGAGACCCCGCAATTGCGTGTAAATGAAGCAGAAAGTCAGATTAGCAACCTGGGACTTGGTCACAATTTTCGTGATGCCAAGAGGTCTCTGATAAGTCAGGTCAGGTCAGGTGTCAGTGACCATTACAGCAGACTTTCCCTTTGATTCTCCTGTGTCCATTAGCACCTTGCTCACCCAGCCTACCTACCCTCTTAACCTTCCTGTTAGACGTCAGTTGCTCTTTACATATACCTGTACCTAAAATGATTTTCAAAGAGGCTGTGATTCTAAAATGCTTTACATAATTCCATGGGAAGCAAACAAGAATTAAATCTAAATTATTTTGAATAAGTAGGTTAGTGGTTAGTGACTCGTCCTGTGGTAGGAGGTCCCTGACAGTACAATAGTGTTGAAGGGTGTTTGTGTTGGGGCAGTTTACAGGAAGAGAACTGTAGGTCATCCCCTGTACTTGCCAGATAGGTCTGTATCCAAACCTAATGCCAGCAGACAACATTATGTCATCAGTACACGTTGACGACACTTGTGTAATTTTCACGAAAATTCCGGCCTTGGGGACGATTTTCCGAGAAAATTTCAATTCCGGCCATCGGAGAGTTCCGGTTAAGAGGGATTCCGGCTAACGGAGATATTACCATACAGTACCGGTAAATGTGAGGAATACATCAAAATAATACCAATAAATAAGGTACAACAAAAAATACTGTATGGCCAAACACAGTAAATAAAAGAATGTTTAACACCATTTACATACACTCCCTGGTTCACCATAGTAACTCAGACCAGCTGGGACACTTCCCCCTACACTCTATGCCCTCCCTCCCTCACTGAGCCAGCTAACTTGTGTGTAAAGAAATATATATTCCCTTTATGTGTTTCCCTCTAGGACAATTATTTCTGTTATTTTTTTACAATATGTATGTAGGATGGTCTGTGTGTGTGTATATCAGTAGAAATAAATGAAGAAAGTTATGTTTATCAGCCTGTAAATGCAAGATGAAAACCAACCATAACACCTCACAGCTTGGCCCAGTAGCCTGCTGGTTACAGTGATGAGTCTAACTTGGTTACAATGCTGCCAGTGATATTAACAGATGTAATGGTGAAAATAAAGTTATCTGTAAATCTTCATTTGTTTCAGGTATTTGTAAATTCAAAAATAAATGTTGCAGGTATGGCATTAATAGATTGTAATGCTCGTAAGAGTTCAGAAATGGTTAATGCTTAGATCAGAAGAGTTGGGCGTCCGCCACACGGACGTTAATCGTCTCAGGTTATTGTCATCAGTACAGAGTAGTTATAGATCCACCTTTTATATTTACAATACAATAATTATTTTTTTATTAATTAGAAGTAATAATAATGTGTTAAGTAAGCAATAGCATATTTTTAGTTCTGGAGTTGGGTTAGGTAGAATTTATCCTACTGGAGACAGCAGCTGGGGGATTCATTAGCTTGCGGGAGACCACAACTTCACATATAAGATGAAGGCCAATTTTTTTAGCCATTTTTCAGACAAAAAAGTGAGTCTTATATGCCATAAAATATGGTGACCTAAGCTCACCTAATACCAACCTAACCTAACTTCACCTAATACCAACCTAACCTAATACCAACCTAACCTAACTTCACCTAATACCAGCAAGTGCAACATACTTAATATTGGAAGAACAAATACTGTCAATGTATACAGCCTTAACAACATCAACCTAGAGAAGTCGACTTGTGAAAGAGACCTAGGAGTACTTGTAAGCCCGGACCTACGGCCTAGAAAACAGTGCGTTAATGTTCAAAATAAGGCAAACAGAGTATTGGGTTTTATATCTAGAAGTGTAAGTAATAAGAGTGTAGAGGTCTTATTGCACCTATATCTTGCGCTAGTCAGGCCGCACCTCGATTATGCGGTTCAGTTCTGGTGCCCTTATTATAGAATGGATATCAATTCACTAGAGTCGGTGCAGCGAAGAATGACGAAAATGATTCGGGACTTAGAAACCTTCCATATCAGGATAGGTTAAAAACTAAACTTGCATTCCCTAGAAGACGAAGAGTCTTGAGGAGATATGATAGAAGTATTAAAGTGGGTGAAAAGGAATCAATAAAGGGGATATAGATAAAGTTCTTATAATATCCGAGCAGGATAGGACTGAACAACGGATTTAAGTTGGATAAGTTTAGGTTTTAGGAGGGAGATAGGAAGGAACTGGTTCACAAATAGGGTGGTGGACGAGTGGAACAAGCTTAGCAACTTTGTAGTAAGTGCTGGAACGCTGGAAAGTTTCAAAGGGAGGCTGGATAGATTCATGGATGATAGAGAGTGGTAGTAACTCTCGACAGGAGCTGCCATGCACAGGCCAACCGGTCTATTGCAGACTCCTTATTTTCTTATGTAATACCAACCTAACCTAATCTCACCTGACCCAACCGATATACAACTCAATATAGAGTTCCGTGAACGGTCGCCACAAAATCTCTCTTAATTTAACCAACGGAAGACACAAAGTGTTTAAGGCTAGTATACGTGACTTAGTCAACAGCAAGGAAAGTTTACTAAAGACACTTTGATGAGATATTATATTGAATTATCATTCAGTTGTGCTTCACATGATCACCTTTGACCCAACACAACACAGTACTTTATCTCTTGATCTGTGGACATTTTCCACCTCAGAATGGGTGTTTTTAACCCGCTCGTAGCTCTGTAAACCTTGGTTGAGCTGGGGAGGGCCACAAGGGGGCAATTATTACAGGATTTAACAAAATTTAAACTATGGATAAATTACTATAACATATGTACGATATTTCCATCAATATATAAAACAATATATAAATACCTTACAATATTGGGTATTACTTTCTTTACACACCGTTCATTCCTACCACTAATCTATTATTATATTCGAATAAGACGTCTATTTATAAGATAATTTTCATCTATTACATTACCGGCGGAAATGTATAATAACGGAGATAGCTTTTCCAAATAAAATTCTATTTTCTTCCATTAACATCCCGCCATTATCGTCTGCCTCTCCTCCAACACTGCGTGTCTCCTGCGTCTCCTTCATAAATCATCCTGCACATGCGTTGCTGTACATGTCACTCGGCCAATCAAAAGCCTTTTTGATTTTGAAACCAATTAAAATGTTTTGGGTTTAATTCGCGGTATTTTTGGCCCAATCAAATTCTAGTATTCTTTTTGGTCTCTCATATTTTGAAATTCAAGTTCAGTTCCGACCATGGAAGTCTGCGATGGGTGTCACTTAAAGTATATGGAGCTGAGTGCGAGTTTTTGGAAAAAAAACGAAGAAACTATAGCATTTTTTCGATCACATGGTGTTCTTCCAACCTCAGTTAAGTGTACTAAGAGCAAGACTGAATGTAAATATCGCTAAGGCCAACAACGACGAACAAGAACCAGGCCAATAAGGTAAGAAATAGATGATTCCATCATATGGTGAGAGTCAGTTACGTTAGGTCGGGTTAGGTTAGCTTTGGTTATTGTTTTTCCAGTGTTTTTTTGTGTGTGTATTTTTTAGTCGCTTAGCCACTTTTTTTTCTCGGAAAACGTCAAACAAAAAAAAATCGCTGAAAAAACCGGCTAATTTCCGCCAAAAAGGAAGGTCATATTCAGTCCCAACCCACACAAATACACTAGAAAAATATATTTTTAACTTGCTAAAAGTGAACGGTGTTACAAGAAAAATTTACCCTCTATTGTTGTGTACATTTAGAACCAGTTGATGATGGGGCAGAGTTTAGACCGATGATTCACTACCCAACTGTGGGGAGGAACGGACGTCCCTGATTAATATTGTACATACACACGAGGGCCATTGGATGAGTCCAGACAACCAGGACGAGGAATGTTGTCTTCCTTATGAACAACGCCTCAAGTCTCCTCCTGACAATGTGTTCTCAGTTAGGTGTAATTTCTTTCACATGTTATAGTGATGCCTCAGTGTGCGGGCGTCTGGGAGCAGTGATATAAGGTGAGGCTCGTAAATTAAATATTCATTTAAACACTTAAGTAAAGAATAGTTCCCACACGATATTTATAGATGGCCAACAACTATTATGTCCATAAGACGTTATGACTTCAACATGACAAAAACAACAAGTGAATCACTTTGTTAGGTTAGGTTAGGTTAGGGACACTGAACATGAGGGACATGAACACTGAACATGAGGGACATGAACACTGAACATGAGGGACATGAACACTGAACATGAGGGACATGAACACTGAACATGAGGGACATGAACACTGAACATGAGGGACATGAACACTGAACATGAGGGACATGAACAGTAGGACACTATACTGTGACGGCACCCAGTGTGAGCTCATCACTGGTCAACAGTGTGTGGGGGATCAGGTGTAGCACATAGGGTGTGTAACACACCTGTCGGGGATCAGGTGTAGCCCATAAGGTACAACAGTGTGTAACACACCTGTCGGGGATCAGGTGTAGCCCATAAGGTACAACAGTGTGTAACACACCTGTCGGGGATCAGGTGTAGCCATAAGGTACAACAGTGTGTAACACACCTGTCGGGGATCAGGTGTAGCCCATAAGGTACAACAGTGTGTAACACACCTGTCGGGGATCAGGTGTAGCCATAAGGTGCAACAGTGTGTAACACACCTGTCAGGGATCAGGTGTAGCCCATAAGGTACAACAGTGTGTAAACACACCTGTCAGGGATCAGGTGTAGCCCATAAGGTACAACAGTGTGTAACACACCTGTCGGGGATCAGGTGTAGCCCGGGTACAACAGTGTAACACACCTGTCCGGGGATCAGGTGTAGCCCTGTACAACAGTGTGTAACACCTGTCGGGGATCAGGTGTAGCACATAAGGTACAACAGTGTAACACACCTGTCGGGGATCAGGTGTAGCCCATAAGGTACAACAGTGTGTAACACACCTGTCGGGGATCAGGTGTAGCCCATAAGGTACAACAGTGTGTAACACACCTGTCGGGGATCAGGTGTAGCCCATAAGGTACAACAGTGTGTAACACACCTGTCGGGGATCAGGTGTAGCACATAAGGTACAACAGTGTGTAACACACCTGTCGGGGGTCAGGTGTAGCCCATAAGGTACAACAGTGTGTAACACACCTGTCGGGGATCAGGTGTAGCACATAAGGTGTGTAACACACCTGTCGGGGGTCAGGTGTGGCCCAACAAGGTCCAGCTTTTCTCACCTCGAGTAAAACACTTGTTTACTATGCCAGGGATCCTTACTATAATATTATTTACTATATATTTTACTTAACTCATCTCCTTATATGTCTTAACACATCTCCTTATATGTCTTAATACATCTCCTTATGTATATGTTTATAATAAATAGTTAATAATAATTTATTAATAAAACACCTCAATCATCGGCTCTTACATACACCAATATGGCATCAAAGGCATTTCACTAGTTTATCTTCAATAATTTTATTTCAGTAAATAATGTTTTTGGTAAATATTATATCAAAATAATTCTTCAATTATTTGACGAGTTATTATTGATATTTAATAAGAATAAATCTATTTATTACTTAATGGTCCCTGTGTAACTGATAAATGTTATTTTGAATTGAATTGAAACATTTTATTTAGCCATAAAAACACAGATATAGTGAATAATAATAACAATATTAACATGCCTGAGCCAGTTGACAACCCCACACTCTCTTTTAGGCACCTGACATATACTATTGACTTACCTCAAGGAAGTATTATGTAACATTTAGTGTTGTAGTGGATATCTCCCCTACAAAAGGTGTTTGTCGCTCAGTAGCTGACCCCAGTGGATGCCTCGTGGTCCAGGTCAACCAGCGCCGCCTTACACGACTCCTCACCAACCAGCTCTCTCTACATCACGCTTGTAACCATGCTGCCTTCCCAGCACCATGCTGCACTGTACATCCAATACAACATGTATACAGAGAGCACATTGTGAGTTTCCTTTCACCACCCCATCCTGAGTGTGAACCAAACGTCCCATACCCCACAGGGTCATCTGGTATAGTACAATAGCATGGTAGTAATAAGAACATATTACCACGGTTATCACTTCAATATTTATTTATTTTATTTATTTATTATTTTATTTTATTTTTTGTTATATTATAAGCATATACAGTACATAAATTACAGATCACCCAAGCGGCTAAGGAGCCAATCAGGGTGAAGAGGATAAAATCAAATAATGGGAAGCACTACAACATACAGTAGGTTGTACAGTAATAAGGTTGAACAAGAGGACAGAGCTGTCGGGATTATGTCTAGTTGGCAAATATATTTATTGCAATGGTAATTTCTTATCTATTTACATGACAATTTCCGATAAAATGGTTTTGATGGTACAATAAAAGCAGGTACTGTAAATATAGTAGGTATTACAAAAAATATTAATACTTAGACAATAGATATTTTTTAAGAGATGATTTAAAGGAAGGGAGCGTAGTCTTTGCTTGGATGGGTGGGGGTAAGTTGTTCCACACCTTCACACTGTGATATTTTATGGAGGTCTGGGACTGAGAGGAGCACATGGGGGAAGGGGGGGGGGGTGGTCTTAGTAGCTCTTGGTGCCTAAGTTGTATCTCTGATTATTCCGGAACTGGAAATAATTATTGTCAAGTAAGTGATTGACAGATTTGTAAACAAATTTAGCCAATTTTTTATTCGTGTCATCAGTTTATTTCATTGTCCGTACAACTCTCTTTTGCACAGTAACCAGGAGTTGTGTTTTTGAAGAGCCAAAGGCCCCCCATAGTGTGTGACAGTGTATTGACGTTACTGTGAATGGCTTGTATGTGGTTTATCCAGTTAAGTTTCTCATCAACAATAACTCCGAGGAATTTAGTATTTTGTTCGCGTTTGAGGACTGTATTACCAAGGTACAGGGGGTCCAAGTCTGGGGGTAAGTTTTTCCTTCTGTGCAAGATGGTGTAGTGGGTTTTCTCAAGATTAGTTTATTATGTATTACCCAGGTCCTGACTTTAGTTAATTCAGTGTTCATAGTTCTCATCAAGGAATGGAGGTCTGAGTTGCTGGCATAGAGATTACTATCGTCTGCAAATAAGTTGTATTTTATGAGTGTGCTGGCGTGGACTATGTCGTTTATGTACAACAGTAGAACAAAAACAGTACTGGACCGAGAACGGAACCTTGGGGGACTCCATACAAGATTGGCGAGGAGTCAGACTGATGATTATTACAGCAGACATACTGCTTCCTGTTGGACAGATATGAGGTAAACCAATAGTGGGACAGGCCTCTAACGCCGTGATGTTCAAGCTTTGAAAGGAGGATGGTATGGTCGACAATATCGAAGGCTTTAGAGAGGTCCAAGAATACACCGACTGTGAACTGACTGTCATCAAAGGAATTTAAGATGTCATTAGTAAAGGATAGCAGAGCACTCTCAGTCGACCTTCTGGCTCTAAATCCAAACTGGGAGTCTGTAAAGATGTTATTGGCATTGCAGAAGGAATTTAGTCTACTACATGCTAGCTTTTCCAGTATCTTACTCAAGGCTGGTGGGAATGATATGGGGCGGTAATTCTTGAAGGACCTTTGTCACCAGATTTTTTATATGCCGGGTGAACTTTAGCAATTTTCAGTTTATCAGGAAAGACACCACTAGTGAAGGAGGAATTACAAATGTGGAGGAGAACAGGTAGTAATAAGTGGGCTACTTTCTTATGATGCTCATTGGTATATTGTCTTCACCTGCTGCTGCATCTTTGGACATTTTTATGATGATTACTCCGTTACCTTGGCGGGATGCTGGTCCACCCAAGGGCATGTTCCACCATCATTCAACAGCAGTCTCTCTCTCGTCATATCAACTACAGTATCTAGCTATTTAAAATCAGTTCACTCAAAGTTTGCAGCTGAGTCCTATTTTCAGTTTGAATTGAATTGAAACAGTTTATTTAGCCAGAAAAATACAGATACAGAGTGGATAATAATAACAATATTAACATGGCTGAGTCAGTTGAGAACCTGAGCTCTCTTTGAGGCAATTGATATATACTATACATTTATATCAAGGAAGTATTATGTAACATTTAGTATCATCTGGAATAGTGCAATAGCATGGTGGTAATAAGAACATCTCATAATGTTACCACGGAACCCCGCCAGAACTGGAATGCCCTCTTTACGCGGTGCATCTACTCATATACACGGAGAGCGGCTGGCGGTCCTGCCGCGCCGCCATTTTTGGATTCAAACCTCCCGCCATCTCCCTCCATCCCGCCATGTTGGGTACGCAGCGTGAGTAGGTTGCGCAGTGGATGCCTCTGTTGCGTTATCACTGACGTCATATGATGTATCGGACTGTGATTGGGCCACGCATCCTTACCTCCCTCCGCCGCTAGCTGTGAGTGGCTTAATGTAATATAACGTGCCTTCCCGCTGGCAGGTAGAAGGCACTTGACCTAGCCGCTTCGGTTACATCCCTCCCGGCCACACCGTGTATACAGGTATCTATTGTTCCGTAAGAATGGCTGCCACCGGACCACCACCACCACAGAAAAAGCTTGCATTACCTGGACCCAGCCGCCCTAAGCCAAAGAAGATACAACGTGCCCTAAGCTACGATGTGAAGTACAAGATTATTCAAGAGTTGGAGAAAGGAACAAGACAGGTTGATCTCGCGCGCCAGCATGGTGTGAACGAATCTACGATCCGGACGATAAAGAAGGATGCCGCCAAGATAAAAGAACACATGAACATCACAAAGTCTGCAGGTGCTTCAATGATCAAGTATTGCCAGAACAAGGTGCTTCTCAAGACAGAAAATTTATTTGTGTGTTACTTGATTCGTCAGGCAAGACGGAACATGGCGGTCGACACGAGGTCAGTTCAGGAGTACGCACGTGAACTGTACGCAGCAGTGTCACGTAAGATGGGAATTGCAGAGCCCAAACCCTTCAATGCTTCCTCTGGGTGGCTGCAAAGGTTGAAGAAGAGGAACAAGATCACCAACATTAACATTGCTGGTGAAGGAGCGAGTGCTGACCGTGCTGCGGCTAGTGATTTTCCTCCATTCTTACGTGAGATTATGGAGGAAGGACAGTACACTGATGACCAGGTATTCAACATGGACGAATCCGGTCTATTTTGGAAAAAGCTACCTTCCAAGACCTTCGTTGTCCAGTCTGCCAGCAAGTGTCGGGGCCGGAAGATGCCTCCGGTTCCTGTAAACTCAAGTTATCGGTGATCCACACAGCCCGCAAGCCGCACTCCTACAAGAACGTGGACATGACCAAGCTAAATGTCCACTGGCTGACCGCACGTAAGGCTTGGATGTTCTCTGCTCTGTCCCTCTCCTGGTTTGATGACTGTTTCGTTCCCGACGTGAAGAAATTCTGTGAGCAACAGAATGTTCCATTCAAGATTTTGTTGCTCCTTAACAACGCACCAGGACACTCACCCCTACTGTTGGATCGTCACCCCAACATAAAAGTGGTCTTCCTTCCTCCCAACACTACGTCATTAATCCAGCCCACGGACCAAGAATTAATCTGCAATGTGAAAGCTGCATTCTCTGCAAAGAAGTTTAAGCTCCTGGACGACTGAACCAACACCAAGGATGAGTTGCGTAACCTGGGTGACACCGATAGCAAGAGCGACGAGGACGAGGAACAACAGTTGGCGGATCAAGAAGTTCTCGTCAAACACTTTTGGAAGAAATTTAACGTCAAGAAAGCTGTGGACTTCTTGGTGGAGGCATGGGATCAGCTGTCTGTAGCAACGGTTCGTCACGCATGGAGGCATGTGTTGCAAGGTATCCCAGGTGGGAGGCAGAGTCAACCTGTGACTGGTGAGGTTCAGTCTGTTGCAGTGGCAGTGGACCTTGCAAGAGAAACTGCGCAGAGTGTTACAGCTGCAGGCTTCTCCGAGACCACCAACGAAGACATCCTGGAGGTGATCAGGGATCCTGAGGTGACTGCCGACGAGATGTTGGAAGACGACCACGTCAGTGAAGAGGCAGGTGGTGCGTCATCCCGAGAAGAACACAAGTTAACGCATGGTAATGTTAGTGGTGCCATCGAGTGTGCAGAGAAACTGAAGCTCCTCCTTTCTGATGACTCTAACGATAACCGCTATGAAGTCTTTACCACCCAGCTGTTGCAGATTATGGAGCCGTACATCAAGGTGTATCACGACAACATCAACACTACCCGTCAACAAAGCATTACCGAGTTCT